CTGCTGTGCTGTCACAGGACCAGCAGATTTCCTTGTGTAAAAAACCTGGGATTTAGGATGGAAGTTGTCCCAAGATGAAGGAACGTGAGGGACACTGCCAGCTCATGTCCAACTCCTCACCCACCAGGACACGCAGGTCTTCCTCTGCCTGGACTACCTGGACAGCAGCGTGGGAACAGCCAACGGGACAAGGTTGTCAGCTAGACACCTCCATCATTCCTCAGACCTACCGCAGGTCTTCAGTGAGAAGTAATTCTGCTAATGGAGCCCAAGCAAGCCACTGTGCTGACAGAGCAGCAGGACACGAAACCTCCAGAGCTACATCAGGGAGCTTTCATGGCCAGGCATTTCCTCCCAATGCTGCTGCGAACAGAACAGGCCCACGGTGACATAGCCAAGAACAGTACCTGGGTGGGGCAAGAGGGCACCTAAAGACACTTACTGGTGAGCAGTAAGAAAACTTTCAAGCCAATGCAGTCCAGGTACAGCTGCAGAGCCCCTGAAGCTCTCCAAAACTGCCATCAGTCATTTGCGGCTCTCGCATGGTGGCATGAAGTGGGTCGGCAAACCCTTCGCATTCTCCTTGTGACCGGACCCCCAAAGGGCAAAGGAAGGGACACAAGCTGCCAGAACAGACCAAGCTGTGGAGTATCTCAAGCAGTACGGTACCTTCTGTATGAAGTTCAGCACAGAATTTGCTTTCCCAAACGTTCACCCCTTCCCTTTCCAACTCTGTAACATATCTTACCGTGGTTCAAGAAACCTTCCCAGCTGCATCCGAGATAGAATTTAGGGTTCATATGTATGTGTGTGTCTCCAGGTGTGAATTCAAATCATACTGAGTTAACCTTGTTGGTTAAGGTTTACAGAACTTTAATTAATATCATTATTAGTTACTCTGAAGGACTACATAGGGCTGTAAAATGTAGGTGACAATGATGCAGATCTCCATCTGGACATGGAAAGCAAACTTTGCAGCTATATTACACAAAGACATGCATTTCTCTCTGGAAAAGGTCCAGCAAGCACAGAGATTTTTTTTTTCTTTAAATGTTTTAGTGTATCAAGGCAGCAAAATTGCTCAATACTGTTTTTCTACATTTTTATAGCCCTAGATTATAAAAGTGAAAACTAAACTATATATTAGAGTTAATTTTTTAGCAGCTTATTAGAAAGACTGAATTCTGATCACCTCTATTAGACTCCAGACCTGTGTATTCAGAGTTATCTAATAAATATCAAAAAAAGCAAACACAAAGAAGAAACAAATTTAACAGTTAATTTCAGTGTCATGTCATATGTGGCACAGTGCATATTAAAACACACAGAAAATTGTGATTAAAAACACAGGACAGGCATGCTGTAAATGTGCTTACCAGCTTGAGAGAAAGCTTCATGTAAAAATTGGAGAGATACAGGGTGGGGGGAGAAAGAGAAAAAACAACAGTGCATCAGTAGAAGAGGAATTTTTTCAGACCGACGTTACAATAATACGACACATAATCCCCTTGCTGTTGGAAGGCAAAATGGGTAACACTAACAGATCTGTGCAAAAGTTCACAAGACGGGCCAGCGTTATCACTCAGCTGCCGTTTCCTCGCCGGGAACAGAAAGGGAAGAGTGCTGCACCCCTACACACGGCTCCAGCACCGCGGGTGGAGCTGGCCTGAACCCACTGCGGCTACGACAGTAACAGGGAGTTTTCTCATGACGGTAACGTCTCTGAATTGGGAAAAAAAATCCTCAGAACTTCCAAATCTATGCAAGTCCCTGAAATGCAGCCACGAGCATCAGCACTTTTACGGAGGGGCTTGGGCAGGGATAACATCTGCCCAAACCCAGCAGAGGTGAGGTCCTGCACCTGGCTCCAGCTGCAGAAAGCACCGCGGGATCTCCAGTGACTGCCTAGCCCTCAGGCCTGTGTCCAAAGGACAACACCCCTGAAAAAACATCCCCATTGATTGGGGACAGTCATGTCAAGTCATTTCATGTTCTTGAACAATTCAAAAACAAATCCTTGGTCTCAAATGTACTCTGACCAGACAACGCCAGACAAGGTCAGGAACAAGGAGGAGGGGAAAAAAAAAAAAAATCCCTCTTGTCTTTAGAGCAAATTGATTCTCTGACAGCAGGGTACGACATTATTCAAGCTGTTTAAATGATATACATGATCTAATTCTTCAAATGTTACCGCATTTCCTGGTACAGAGCCCAAGCATTATCTTTTAGCTGCTCTGGGAAAGAAGACTGAAGAGAAGTGTCTGCTCAAGGAGCCTGCACGGCAGCAGGTTTGCCTCTGCCCGGCGTCACTTGCACGTACAGCTCGCAGCAGCGCTGGGGGGCCTCCGAAACTGCCAGGTGAAAAGGACCAAAAAGGACCAAAGCCTCTTCCAGCATTGCATGACATTCTGACAGCTGCAATTCAGGTTTTCCAAGAGACAGGGAGACTGAACAGTGCTGCAGTGCTTTTCTGCTCTGGGCCAAGCAGCACGGGTTAGCTGCTGCTCGAGATACAAGCTCGGATTTTAAAGGGAGAACCGAACCTACGCCCAGGCTCCTCCTCCAGCAGTCTGTGCTGTGCCTGTCCTACCAGCCCTTCGGGGACAGTTGTGAAATGCTCAAGCTATGCAACAAACTTTTAAATGCACAAATGCACGTGGTCGGTGTTAAATACAGTTGAAACGTAAAAGGTGGAGAACTCCTCTCACTCCCAGTCTCATTGGGAGACTTCTGAACCTCTTGCCACTCAAGAGTTCTTTGCTCTTCTACCACCAACAGCTCCTGAATGCGATGCTCTCAAACAGATGATCCATTTTTAGCAAAAGCACAGTTCATCAGGATTGGATTTAAAATCAATCAAGGTGGCTCCACACCCCGTGATGTTTTTGACAGCATGATTTAAGAAATCCACATTGTTCAAAAATGACAATTACCATTACAGTTACCAGAATTTATACAGCAATATATGCCAAAGGTTCAAGGAAAGCACATGGCCTTGTAATAAACAGTGAAATACTCCATCTGAACTGATGCGTTCAGCGACAAGGCGGCAGCTAACGTCTCTCTGAAGTGCAGCCCAATTAGGAAGTAAACACACGATAATCATCACAGTGCAATGAAGATATTCACTCTCTCAGCTACAAGGCCATTAAAAAAGCAAACAAAACGAACCCATTGGACAGAATAATCATCCAGGAAGGAGAAAGAATGAGCTAAAATACGCTGCAGAAGAAATTTGGCGTAGGCAGCTGTTGTTTGCATAATTGCTTTAGCGCTCCTGTGAACTTTAGCATAGACGTGATCAGCACAAATTGAGATCCTTGTACATATATACAGACAAGACTCATGGTGCAGAATAAATATTTACCTATGAAGCAGTCTATAAAAGGCACAAATGTATGCTACATGCGCTAGTTTCTAAACACTACTCACTCTAAAGGCACTACACTACTGCAAAGAGTCATCTGCATCAAGACTATTCTTTTGCTGTAAATTCAGCAAATTTGAAAAGGATTATAGACACTGTATGCCGAATTCTTAGGCTGTTAAGTACGACAAAAATAGAGAACTTATTAATAGCATTTCCAAATAGTACATCAGGGCTTGTTATAACCAGTACAAATAACAAAGCAGATCAGAGACTGGAAACAATGAAATGCTGAAATAAGTCATATTCGCAGTTTTCCATTTCTGGAATGTATTCATAATTTTACATGAAAACAATTATGTTTCTATAAACAAATATAAGCAGACGAAATAAATCTGCATTAAACACTCAACTACTTTTGCCCATTCTGGTGAGTTTTCACAGCTAGAAACTTGCTCACAGCTCCTGGGAGAACAGGGGCATTTTTTTTTTCCCCTCAAATAATCAAATAAATTACATTTCTTCAAAATGAGCAAATCTGGTTCAAGCTGTCAATTTAAGACAAGTCTGGCTTAGCCTTGCAGGGAAAAAATGAAGAGCCTAAGAGCCACAAGCTTCAATAACACATGAGAGAGCATGAAAGCCAGCAGGTCCATGTGTTATTGGACAGTCACGGCCACTAACCTCACTTACAGCAAACAGGGCTGAAATAAACCTCTGGACTTCCGCACAGCCAAGAGGTAATTTGCTTTCTTAGTGCTCCTGTAACAATCTCCCCATTCTCTGCTTTATCCGGGTATCAGATTTAGAGGGCATGTATAAAGAACGTGTCACTGCACTGCTGTAAATCGGGGGCTGGCTCACGATGCTCACGACTGCATTCGTAAAATATTTCAGAATACACGCGTGGAACCTGTTTGTAGTACTGACTCTCAATTTCACAGGTCCAGCTACTTTAATTGTGCCAATTTCAGCATTTCCAGGACTAGCAGACATATTCTTTCCTGCACACAACACAGTAAGCTGCAACTTGCCTCCCACCAAATTTTTCTTTTCTTTTTTTTTTTTTTTTTACAAAGCACATTTCCACAGCACACTCTGACGGCCTTGTAAGTGGGGTTAGCGACTGTGTAGCAACGGTATGGGCTGATCACACCATACGCAAACTTACAACATATTCCCTAGCCTCAATGGCACACGTGGGTGTCCCTAAAGTCCTCTTCATGAGTTCTTTGTGAATATACAAAGACTGTGTCTGCTGGTGAGTCAGCAAGAGAAAACACACATCCGTTACGCTGGAGACGAGGCACCTCTGTGTTTACTGCTTCTACAGCAAAAGACAGCCTGGAGTTTAACTGGCCTTTAAGTGCAAAGTGGAAGCTTTCTAGAAGCTGGGCGAATATTAAGAGTTAAGCATTCTCACAAAAATCAGAAAATATTACATTTTTAAGTGCTAGCTTAAACACACAAGGTCAGAAACCATCTCTCTCTCTGTGCTAGAATAAAGCACAGCTTTAACGACCCCACCCACCAAAAAATCCTGGCCGTGGCACAGACACATACACTTACATTAGAATAACAAGAATTCCCAGGGGCAGGGGACAAGAGCAGGTACGAGGGGGGTGGCTGGTTTGCTGTTTCTGCAGGCTCACAGAACACCAAAGGACCGATCACCCGGGCACACCAACAGCTAAGTGTCAAGGGAGACGACTACACAGTGTGTCACAGAGGCAAGATAGGACGGGAAGGGAAAACATTAACTGGTGCAATGGAAAGAAAATCACATTGTAATGAAGTCAACAACTTCCACTAAAAAGGAAACCACAAAAGTCCCTCTGTGTGCCTTATGGAACTGTCTGGAGGGTGGAACTCGGGTAATGACAGTAGTATCTGTGTCCCAGCTCCCAGACGCATCCTCTCTGCTTAATCACAGCCCAGCCTCCGAGCTGAGAGAGAAGAGGCAATTCCACATAATGCCACACAGAGTAATTTAAAGGTGTAAGTTCTACCCCTGGATTTTGTTAGTTCAGAAGTATTGCTCTTTAAATAAAGGTGCTGATGTTACTGCTGCTATAGCAATAAAGAAAAAGAACACAAAATTAATATCAAGGGCAGAATACAGAGTTTTCTTTGTCCTCAAAATGGAATTAGAAAAAGCAGAGCAAGCATAAATGAAATTATGACTTATGTAAGTGGTTCCTCAATTTTTTGTACCCTTCTGGCTTTAACTTCCCTATAGACAGAGTTAATTTCAAGCCTTATACTACTTTTATACTTCCATTTTAAAGAGGTATTAGAAACAGCACTCAAAACCTGTGTAAAATACTTTTTTCCCCTCCTCTTCTAGCTGTGATCCATAGTAAGTGCTGTAACAGTTCTATGGTGTTCTCTATAATGGACATTTCTGCTGTTGGGGTTAGAAGAAAGAAACTTTGAGGAAAATACAAAAATGTGATTAGAAAACCATAGACACTGACAAGAGTCGGCACCTAATTTTTTTTTTTTTTTTTAAACAGACTAGGATTTCATATTGGCAGTGACCACTGATACTGGTATTGGCGCCTCTACATTAACCTTGCATCTGTTGTAAATTCTTCAGGCATCTGCTTCCTACCATGAAAATAAGATTCATTGGATTTTTGGTTTGGAAGCAAAATTAAAACCAGACTGGACACAGGACATATCATTACTAACGATATAATTCATTTTAACAGTCACCAGTGATTTTTCTCTTTAGTTTCATAATTTCCCTTTCCAAATGCAACATAAGATGCTAAACCAGAACTTTATAAGGAAATTACTAAAACATACTGCCTCTCCAGACAGGTTCTGATATCAAAGATTTCATGGAGGAATTGTACAGGAATCCATTCACTCACTTATGTTTCAAGGATCAATTACAACGTGCAGCGCTGCTGCTGGATTTATCCTGTTAAGGTCTGAGCATCTGCTGGAGTTGTTCACATTCATAGTTCCTTTTCATGCACTTCTTCCTTAAGCAAGTGCAAAAAAGGAGTACGATCCAGCTTCCTCTGAAATAAACAATTTGTTACCCTGGCTTTTGCAGGAGTTAAGAGCTCAGGTTTATCAACAAAGCCAGGAAGGTCCTGCTTGACGATCTGGTTGAATACTCTAAAATAATACTTAAAATCCCTTATGGCCACCTTTACTGAAGGTGTCTGGCTGGAGTGGAATTTTGCCTCTGAACAAAACCAGTGGTGTGGAGACAATATTCAGAGCAAATGAAATTATTCAGTGTCCAAAGCCAAACACCGGTTACATTCTGCTGTGCTGCTGGCTCCCTGCACGACCTTTCCAAAAGCTGCTTCACTGATGGATTTCTGTACAGATCAAATGTTCTTCTGTGTAAAGGAGAGTTTCCCTCTACAACCTCCCGACTTCTTTGGTAACATCACAATCCAGTATTTGTAACCCTACTGCTCCTGCTCCTGAGCAAAATTCAGATGCTTTTGGATTTGACAGGGGGATGGAAAAGAATTGAGAAAGGGAAATCTTATAAAAAAGCAGAAATAACAGTACTGACTAGCTGCACTGAACATACAGGGGGTCACATCAACCACACCAGCTGAAACATGCCAACCACTCATTCCTCATCTGATAAATTAACAAGATTTGGGGGTGGTTCTTTATTTATTTTTTTGCCTGGTTAGAATTATTTTATTTTTGAAGGTCATACTGCACTTTCAATGATCTTTTAGTCTGACCATTTGTATAATACAAACCACCAAGGACCTATGAAATGTGAACTTGGCAAGTTTTCAAATCAGATGGAGCAAATTGCCAGAGCTTTGCAGCCTCTCCTACTCCGTATTTCTAGATGAACCAACTAGCTTGAATTCATCCCTCTGGAAAAAGAGACGATGATCTGAACACTGGCCTCCAATTCTGCAGGATGAGTCAAGGAGGAAAAGTATTTACATACAAACATCCTGGTAGCTAACAGAGGAAGGAAATGAAAGAGAACACAGTGAAAGGTTTAAATGAAGATTTAGCAATAGCCTTTCCTTGCACATTTTTAATGAATGTGTCAGCAGAAATTTGAGGGAATCCAGAGGAGAATACAGGAAATTGTTCTCACTATTTCACCTTTCACACAAACCAATTAAAACTAATTAATACACAGGATTCATAAGGCTCCTTGGACCTCCCAGATAGCTAATACATAAAATAATGGCATTTCTTCAGGAACTATTAAACACAATTAGTCATAATCACTTAAACACCCAAACATTCACTAAATAAGAATTTGTACATTTAAAATACAAACTGTGAAGTGTCCCTGGAACTACAAAACTAGTATTTTTAAATCAAGTTGCAAATACTCAGCACTATTTTCAATATTCTGTTCTGTGAATGGTGCTATTGGAGCACTCGATCGCAACACAAACCCTCACCCTTTACTCTCTGAAGGATCTCAGTGCTACTGCCAGATGCCCACCCGCTGTAGCGAGTGCCACCACGACAGCCACCACCCAGCACAGCCTCCAGGTCTGCTGCTACAGAAGCAGAACTGAAAGACTGTTTCCCCCCATAAAAGGCACAGGGAAGAGACGCTCTGACCCAAACTGCAACTGAGGGATGGAGGTACATCCACAGAACCTGTCTTAGGACAGCTCCAAAACTTCCTGCTTCCCCAACGAAAAGCACCAGAAATGTGGTTTTTGGGGGTTCTACATGTCTCATTAAATGGCAATTCCCTAGAAAAGAACTGAAAAGCACTCTGTAGAAAACATCTCTTTTTGAAAATGCACTATCCATAACCAGATGAGACAAAATATTGTTTACAGCACTGTTCTCAATTCTCTGTAGCTAACCACTGAGTTCCCCACTGCAATAATCCCTACTTTTATACAGCTCCAGCCCTAAATGTCAGTGCAGTCCCTGGAGCAGAATTTGGGCTTTTTAAAGTAGTCACTTCCTTGATGTTACAGCCTGCTCTCAAAAACATTTTAAAATACTGAACACTTGTGTCTCCTTCCTGTAATTTTTACAGGAGGAAATAATTTTAAGGACCTTAGCCTAGGAGGCAAAGCTATGCTCTGCCAGCAACTTCTCAGCACAACTGTACTGTGTGTGAGCTTCCGGAAAGATAACGTCTTATTTTGTTTGAAAACCAGAAACTTTTATCTCTGGGACCTGTCATTTAACTTACCGCTTATGAAGACCACCAATAAGAGCATTTAATCCAACACAAACACTTCCAGAGCAGTTTACGGACACAGCCACAGCTGCTGTCGGCAGCAGAGCAGAGCTGCTGCCCTGGGAACACTCGGGCTGTTAGCAGCAGCAAAGGAGACAGGGACACTGCTCTTACGGCAGCGGTGGTGTCACAAAATGGCCATCCACCTCGAAGCAGTTCATCTTTCACATCTCGCCTGTTCTCTCATCTAAGACTCAGACTTCTGAACGATGCTCCTCCAAACCTGCTCTGCCACAGACACATACAGGGCTACTAAATTAGTGACTCTGGCTTCTACATGAGTGTTACTTAACGTTCAGCTCTTCTTCCATACTTTGGACAATCCCTCCTCCCCATAAAACCCAAAGGGGTAATTTCCATCAGCAACTGTACTTTTTGTGGTTTCATTGTGGGGTTTTTGACTACAAATGGCTTTCTAGGTTGGGATTCCTCGGATTTGTCTGCATGTTATGATAAAACACAATGGATTCATTCACAAAACAAAACAAGTTTTTACATAACAGAACGTGCAATAAAAGCGCAAGAAAGAAAGAAAAGAGAAAGAAAGAGAGAGAGAGGTATCCAGAGGAGAACTTACCCCGCGCTTTAGGCTCCTGAAGCAGTGGATTTTGGGTTTGGAGGTCATGAACTCGTTGAAGCGATGGGAGAGGGGTTCCTTTTGCTGCTTGGGAGACTGGGGGCCGTTGGGAACAGCAGAGGGTGAGGCAGAGGCAGGGAGGAGGGGGCTGATGGGGGGATGTTAAAAGGGACATAAGCTACGTATAAGAGATGGAGAAGTGACAGAATAAAAATCAAAATAAAAAGATAAAACACAAAACGAAAATAAGCATCAAAACCGATATTTGAAATCCAGAGAAAAAAACCAATTAAACAATTAAATATTAAAGGCCATGGTTCAAAAGGGGGGAAAGCAGTATTTCAGAGTTGTGTTAAATGAAGAACGTGATAAATGGAAGTTTTAGTAAGTGATGCAACAGAAGAGTAACACAAAAGTATTTTGACAGGAGGCTCATGCAGACTCTTCCATGCAGCACTATCCCCATAAATTGCCCTGTTCTCCTCTGTGGACAGCTCAAAATAATGCACATGGATAGAGCTTTCAAATACCTGAATTTAAATGGATCAGATAAGGAAGGTACCTTAGTGCCCAGTAGCGTTTCTATTATCTGGAAAACAACAAACCACATTCCTTCCTGCTTTCAAATCATACCTCAGTAATGTGCATCACACTTCACTTGTACAGATTATTCTATGAATTTGCTCAGGAGTTAGTCCTGGGTTTTGTTACTGGCTGCACTGATGTAAGCACCAGACAGCCGCGTTCTCTCAGGTACCAGCACCACAGGAATGACCCGTTGTGAACTTTTTGACTCTGTAATTAGTAGAAGTGGTTCGGTAAGGGTCAGAGCAAAGGTGAGATCAAAACAACGAAGCTACTCTGGGCTTCCATCAGGGTCACTGAAAAACGATTCAGTCCAGTCCCCCTGCCACACCCTGGTAACCCCAGATAAATGCTGCCATGCATTATGGTGTAAAATATGACAGTGAAATGAAAAAGGTTTAATGGATACATAAGTTAATATGGTCTTTTTAAAAGTCAACTGCTCAGTTAGTTATGCTCCGTTAGTTGTGCTAAGAAGGATGAATCGCAGCAATTCCTTGTTCCCAGCCACCCAACTTGTGAACCCAGTGCACAGACTGAAAAGACAACGCAAACGAAAAGCCAAGGAGAGTTTTAGAAGTGTCAAAACAGTAATGCCACATTAAAGCTTCCCAAAGGTGACAATGTTAGTTGGCACACATGGCACTAGGTAAGCAGAATACAATTCCTTCTCTGAGTTAGGAACAGAAATGGACCATGGCAGAGACGTGACAACTAAAGTTAAATTAATATAAAAACTGCAACATAATTAAAGAAATTCTTAAAAAAAATTAAAGATATAAAGAAACTTAAATAACCAAAGACTACAACAAAACACCATATTAAAACATCAATTATTAACTTTCTGAATCTAAGATTCTTCTTAAAACATTGTAAACACCAGGATTACTAGACAAGACAGAGGTTACTGACTATACACATACTAGCACCAAGCTCAAGTCTGCAAGTCAGTACCTTATTTTTCTTGATGAACGGCCATAACTTGCCCTTGGATTTGCCACCAAACTTCGGCTCATACTTCCCATCCCCTCTGGAGTTGGAAAGGCTAGATTCTGAGATAGTCCGCTTCATCGGCTGCGTGAAGTCCTCGAAGTCGATATCTCCTGGAGGCTCGAACCCTGATTTAAAGGCTTCTATTACCAGCTGTGAATCCTGAAATGGGACAGAACCAGTACAAGTGTAAACATCTCAGGTGAGGGCTGTCATCAAATTGGTGGCATAGAAGAACAGTACAAGGACAAGAAAGTTGGCCTGTGCGGGAACCGACTCTTACAGGGACCAGTCTCATCCCTGGGAGTGAACAACTACCCTTCCAGAGCCCATGATCAAGACGAGATCAGGGCACTTTTCTTGGCCCTATTTCCAGCACCATGTGGTGTGCAGTCAGGTCTACAAATGCAATTAATTATACATAGACTCAAATTCAGACCTCAGCTTGCCAAATGGATTTAAACCTAATGGACTCAGAAATTTTTTATTTTAACACATTTTTCATCTGCTTGACTTCTTGGTAAGAGAGCTTTTTATGTTATACTGTTCTGACAGTTTTCTTCTAAGATCAAAGTGCCACAGCACACAGACATCTTATTAGCCTCTAGAGAGGAGCACCGCCATCCTGTTCAGATAAAATAGCCAAACTTGTTGCTCTGAAGGCATTTCACAGATTCTGCTTATGCCTGAAGGTAAAACACCATTCATGAGAAATCCAGTGGGATACAAACATATCCAGAGGCCAGGCTCAATCCAGCAAAACGCAGCTCTAGGAAAAACTTGTAAAAGTCTTCATGGGATTGCGAAGAAAATCAAGGTTTAAGATCCTCAACCTGTCAGGTGGGTGCACTGTGAAATTCCTACACAAATTTTAGGGAGGTAGAACGACACCTTCCATTATCTCTCATCCTAGTTGAACACTAAACCTTGTGAGATCTAAACATTTGAAGGGATTTTTAATAACAGTCATGAAAGCAAGATGAAAAAAGGAGATGAGATTACACACACAAGGTTTCATTAAATACTCCACTGGTATTTTATGCTACACATGGAGCTTCTCATTTTTTCCTCTATTTTACAGTGTTCTTTCCATTTAGTCAAAACATCCTTCCCCTACAATAGAGCTAAAAATAACCAGCACGCTCCATATATCACACAGATAATGTCATAACAGGAACTCTGAAGTCCATAACAAATTATTTTTATCTGCTGCTAGTTCTGCATAGGTTCACAGCCTACCATTGCAACACGACTTCTGTGTTGTCCGAGTTGTTGGAAACAGAAGATGAAAAAGAAGCATATTTACAATTGCATCAGAAGCACAGGGCTAGCCAGTACGCCCAGCTAAACCCAGACAGTTTCTCTTGCTATTAGCAGGAATTCTGTACACTCCAGTGAGGGCATAAAGCAATGCTATTTACGCAGTTGGAAATGTAGTAACTAAGCCTGAAAGACTGTCCGTTTTGCAAGTGGGCATGAGGCAGAACTTTATAATACTTAAGCTGCAGAGAATATAGAAAGTATTAAATCTGTCCCAATGTCATTCTGGTTCTTAACACCATCCAACTGCTGCTTTTTATTTTGTTTTTCCTTTTTACACAGTAATGCCTTACCATGAACTGGTAATATTTTAATTGCAGCAAAAAAAAGCTGCAGAACTTGCAGCTTCTTACATCCTTTCAGCTAGAGTTGACACATAGTTTGGTACACAAGGTAATTACTAGAATTGGTGTTTTCTCTGTAATTATTTTCTTTCTGACCAATAAATCTTCTATATTAGTTGTGGTTGTTCCATTTAAAGTGCCGGTTTCTGAACAGAAGTTACTGCACAAAGAGCAGAGCTTTCATTTTCCCTCTCCCCTTCTTCAGTAATTCTGTATGTGATAGCTGGGTAGAAAAAGGGAAAATAAAACCAAAGCATAGCAAGAGCTAAATAAGAACTCCAAATGCATCACTGCCTTTTGTCAGTGTCGCATTTGCTGACCTTATATATTTCAAGTTTAGTGATACTGTACATTTGTTTATGACTACCAGATCCTGGAGGTCTCCTCCCAGCTGGGAACCACATGTCTGTGTGTGCCCAGAGTTGCACACAAAGCGATCCCTTAGTTATCAATGCTCAAAGGCACTGTTTCTAATGTCATACTTGTGCACATGAGCCACCAATCTGACCTATCTATGTGCAAGAGAGACCAGCTTGAATATACACTTCACAGCGATTCAAACACCTAGTTTAAGCCCCATGTGTGTTCTGCTAGGACCTCGCTTGAAGATTCAAGCAGAGCATAGGGTTAGACGTGAACCTCCCCAAACAGGATTTCACCATGCAGCACCAAGAGCTGCACCCCAAGAAGGGTACGTTGTTCTAACCTGGGAATTTGTGCCCCAACTCCCCCTTCTCCCACCCTGAAAGAGTAATTTTCAGATTCCTTGGCGGCCCCTATGCTGCTCTCTGTGAGAGCAATTGCTGAGCAGAAAGTAGTGGATTCATTTCAGAGCTTCAGCCTCAGGCTTATGCTGCCAATTAACGGCAGCCTCCAGGCTCTGGGCACTGAATAGCTCAGGAAAGATTCCAGTGAGAAAGATGTGTGGGAAATTCGAACAGCCAGCAAGACCCATGCTGTTTGTATTTGAGGCACTAATGTGATCCATGAGAAGGGCTGAAAGAGCAAGCACAGACTTCACTTATGAAGGGAGCAGATCATTCTGAAAACAAAACAGAAAACACATTTGCCCTTGTGCACACTGTACATCAGGAAGCTCAACTGAACTCTTTATCAGCCTTTGTATTAGGAAGGCTTCTTTTTACTCCTACAGTGAATGTTCAGAAATCAAGATTTGTGAGAGCTCGTCTACAGATTGCTAGCAAATCTCAAATCTGCAAAGAAAGCTTTTATTGTAAAGTAGAAATTTTGCCAGAGTTGTTTAGAACAATTTATGTAGCAAATACTTTAAATACTTTGTTTTAGTTCTGTGACTATAAAGCCCTTGCACTGCAGCCTGGACCCGGGAATTCTCTCTATAGAAGTGATCAATACTAAAGACAACAATCAAAAACCCAAACAACACAACACTTACATTCTTGTGATCAATCGATTCTGCAGCCTTTGTTATTTCATCCAGACACTTTCCAATGATAGGGATCACTTGGCGGTCGACTTCTGCGAAAGTTTTCATGGATTCGCCTATCCTCACGATTCTTCTTTCCTCCATCTCTTGTATTTTCTAAAACATTCCATTCAGATCAATTATTAAGGTTAACTTCATAGTTTCAACCTTTTCTCCCCAGCATACATCAGCTGCTTTAAAATTTATGGTTTAAATATATTTTTAAGAACAGACAAACTAGGACAGCTGTTCTCATGAAGGCACCAAGTGCTGTGATTCCCTCAAATATCAAAACACCATTCTAAAAGTTATCTCTGTTACTATTACCTGGAATTTTTCAATTAACTTTCTTCAATTAACTTTTCATGTTAGAAAATACTGATTTGTCCAAACTCCAGCTTTAAACTTTTGTAAGGATGGCTCCTAAGGCTTTTAAGAGAATTTCTGCAACAATAAATTCTTCCATTTTCTGCACATGTTCTGAAAGATCTTATTTTCATTCCACTGCAGAATCCAGGCAAACAAAAATCTTGATGTCACCCTTTCTCCTTTTCCCTAGAAGGTAATTTTTGGTTTACAGGCAGTCCTATACATCATGTATTGTTCACACCAGGGCTTCTCCACATACGCTCCCTGTTGCTCAATGGATTCAGCGCCACGATCTCCAGCATCTGCTCCATAGGCCTCTCGCTTACAACAGCGGGAAACTGGACGTGGCATAACGCTATTATGACAGATTACAGCAGGATACAGAAGGGCATGAACAAGAACTGCCTGTTTCACAGCAGACTGCAGGAATCTCACAGAGCATTGTCAACTTCAAAATTCCCATTGCCTTGACTGATCCACAAGCAACATAAATTATTTACAAAACAGCTTGTTTCAAGATCTAAAACAAAGCACTAGAGCTTCCTGGTGCTCCGGCCGTGAAAAGGATACTTCTGCAGTACATTACGCATGCTCACCTATGAACCAGAGCACTTACAAATCTAGTGTTAAATACAAATATATTGCCAGAATTTTATATCTGATGCAAGGGATAATTTACCACAAGACACTGCTTTGAAATACCATGCAGCAAAAGAGGAGGCGTGCATTTACCTAAGAAGTTCCAGCTATGGATAAGAAAGTGCCTATTTCCTAAGCAAATACCAGGTTTTTTCCTCAGCTGATAAGCATGTGACATCTTCTCCCTTAAAGAGGTTGTATTTTCCACTTCTCATGCTTATGACCCATTACAATGGAACAGTCCCTTAGAAGTTCTGTTCTACTACATTAATCTCTCTTTGTTCAGTCGAGCACAAACTCAGATCTTCAGTCTGTATAAATCTGATGGCTTTTTTGTTCTTTCTCTACAGTCTTTTAGGCACCCTAAGACATAATCAGCAAGCTTGCTTAAACCCTTTGACATTCAGTACTGCAGAATTATTGTGGTTTAAATTTAAACATCTGTGAAGTCTGATTTGAAGACAGGTTATAAAGGATCGTGGGGCTTTACAGATGTAATGATGCCCAGCTGACTCCTGCCCCAACAACACAAATAATGCTCTCATTCCCCAGCTGCACGGACACAAGAGTTTAACAGAGCAGGATAGTGAGCGATTCCAAAGACTATCGTAATCTGTCATGACAATTCAATGTCACCTTCCTCATATATTATTGATCATTTGATATCTAGTCTAAGAGAAAAGGACAATTTATCCTACCAAGCTCTCCATCTCTTCGGTTGGCAGAGTGCATATAAAATTTTCTGAAAGCAATGAAAAGCAACAACAACAAAAAAAAAGATAGGGTCCTAGAATTGAGTTGATGTGCAATATGTACCTCTGTCCTTCTCACAAGATGATGAGCTACTCTAGATCAGTGCCAGTGACCCTTACCTGGAAGATGTTTGGTATGTGTGTGTAGTAATGATCATGCTGCTCGCTGTTGAACTTCTGTAGAGTGGAAGAATATTCCGCTTTGCTGTCTTCTGCCATCTGATGTCTCAGCTGGGCTTGCTGTCTTGCCTAAAGAAATGCCAAAAGAACTTTATGATTTATACTACGTGGAAAAAAATTCCATTATGTTACTCTTCTTACTATCCTTACCAGCAGGCAGCACTGGAATATTAGCATACAGGTCTCTGAACACTTCAGCTTTTGGTTTACTCCTGTTTTGCAAAGGAGTTAATCTATGTCAAGCATAACCCTGCAGCGTGCACGCTGCTGCTGTTCTCTTCTTGTGTTACAACACGCTATTGCCATGAACAATTTTGCACTCTGTGAACAACAGCTGTTAGTACTGCATGTGAAACACCAGAACAAGTTTGCCCCTCCACTAGCCCAGCTAACAGGCACACACGCTTTCCGTATGCTTGTGGACACTCTTCCTGCTCCACCAAGTGCCTGGCTGGATGGCACCTTCTCTAATCAACTCCTCACCTGTTGGACAGCAGTATCTTCTGGGGAAAGGGAAGGGACAAAAACCCCAAAACACTGTCTTGTCTCATTTCACATGCTTTAGCCAACACAATCATGATAAAACATCTTAACCCGTGCTGCGTGCCCAAGGAAAGAGAAGCCTGACGAGCAGCTGAGACACGACTCCCTTTCTATCTTTACCCACACAGATGATTTGCTCTGCTGCCCAGCATAGCGGAGCACCGGGTGATTAACCTTCTAGAACAATCTGTCCCTGAGTGACCCCTTAATATTTTCAGATTCATCCCCTTACAATTCTGCTTTCCAAGGCCTTCTGTTATCTGTTTCACTGCCTGATATCACTCCCTGTCTATCCCATCTGTTTATTTTAGTTCTTTATTCCTTCTGTGCTGTTGGCCTTCATACAGGAACTCTTCCTTCTCTTCCTACCCAGCTCCCGGCACCCCTGCGCCTTGGCTCCCTGTCCTCATCCCTTGCTGAAGCTCCCTCTCCCACTCCACGTTCACCCAGCTCCACCGCTCCCCCGTGGCCCCTCTCCACCTTGCCCACTCCCACCTACCCCTGCACAGCCTCCCCCAGCTCTGCCATTGACTGGAGTGAGCCCAGGACTGGGCTTTGTGAATCTCAACTATCCCGAGTTTGCGTTCATTTTTTAGGCACAGAAAGTAGTACGTTCCAATCGCTCCCTCCATTTCAGAATAATCCCTTTAAGAAAGGAGACAGAAAAAAACCTGCTTTAAAACATTTTGGGGTGTTTTGGGGAAAACAGCACAACAAATAATTTTAGCCTAGTCTAAGTGAGCTCTCATTAAAAGCAGCTCAGAACAGGGTTATTCTTTGAACTGTTCCAAGCAGACAATAGTTTCCTGACAATAAATCCATGAAACACCAAATCATGGAACACTTTAGTAATCATAACTGGAAGGTAACAAATTCTGCCAGAAGGTTTCAAATCTCAATTTGCAAAGAAATAGGCCTCCCTCCCACTTGTCCAGCTCGCACATCTCACCTAATAATTTATTTCACCTCAATTCAGCTATTTCTTTTGCAAGTGCAGTCAATTGTAGGAATTTCCGAGATCCCCTTCACATTCTTTCTACAAAAATAATTCAAGCACAATGAGAAAACACTGGGCACTGAGTGCATAATAGGGGATAAAACAGTAGCATCAAATGGAAAAGTCTGCAAGTATAACCAAATAAATAAATCCAATTTAAAAAAAACCCCAGACTTTCAACTTTACTTCTTCCCCAGGAGTTTTAACTGTCCCCTAACTCCTGTAAAGGATGCATATATAACTTCAGGAAATTTACCTGCTGCAGTGAAATTCCAAGAAGCCGTATCAACCATTTTCCTGCCCCAGTGCTATACAGCTTTATCATCCACACACTCTGATATAGCTACAGTAAATGAGTGGAAAACAATACAGCCCTGTCCTACAAACACAAATTTACCAGGAAAACAAAGTCAGCCAGGGCCGGGCTGACAGCTGTAAGAGCGATGTACGCCTGTCTCCCAACCCCTTCCTCAAGTCCCAGCTGCTGCCGATCAATATCCATTTCTGAGGCCCATTCTCTTCATCTACCTAAGAGCAACCCATTGTTTGAGCCGACTTCTGAAACAGCCCCAGTCCCACTCACACAGCTGTCTCTTCTTTTATTTTTTAAATAGTGCAACTCAGGAATTTGTCCCTTGACTCTACTGTTGAAGCAGAACAAGGAGAAATCCACTATGACACATTTCCAGGCAGATCCATCAGAGTTCATTTTCACGAGCAAGTTCACTGTCTGGACAGGAGCAAAGTAACTCTGACCTAAATGTACACAAGAGTAGATGCTCAGTTTCCAAAACTATCTTAACTGGCCCCAAATAAGAGGAGGCAGCAGATGAGTAAGTAACATTGGGTACATTCCAAAACCAAGGATTTTTGCATGAGAGCCCCAGTGATGTTTTGTTTCTCCTGGCCATTTAATGCACTTGGCAAGCTTCAAACAGTTTAAATATTTTTCCAATGAGGTATTTGGATCTTAAAATAAAAATATAAAAAAGTCTAGAAATTTTTTATTACTTCATTTGACTATGTCACTTACTCTAACATCATCACTTCTAGTATTAACAGAATTATATTTTATAGCTAGGTTCCTGCACTCTGCTGAAGCACAGAACAATAAAAACGAGCCGATGACAATAAGTTTCACATTCAGAGTAATGGAGGCAGTGGCCTGGAGCTGCCCAGAGTTACAGGAGCTATTTCAGGAGTAATTTATAGTTGAACTTTACTGAAAATAAATTTCTGCCTTCTTTACTGCTCACTTGTGCATGCAAACTGCTTCAGAGACAGTATTTTTTTGGTTTCTTAGAGTTAATGTTAAAATACTTGCACTGAACAGTATTTTCAGGAGGAAAGGCTTTGGAATAACTGGTTTCTGGAAAACCAGACCGTGACTTCAGCTATAAGAGGATGATACGGTGATGCTCTCAGGCAACATACTCTCTCCTTCAGCCAGGCAGGGATGACTGAGCAAGAACTCGTGTTTCCAGCACCACATGTGAAACCACCATCCAGATCTTCTACAGACTGACAGATTACTCAGCTGTAAGAGATGTCAAGGCTAGGTACAGAAAACATCCCCTCCCCTCCTGAAAGGAAGAAAGAATGAGGTCACCTTTCAGCATCACAAAAAAGCAGAAAGGGGAACACACACGTGGGGGATGTGTGGGGAGAAGAAAAGAAGTTTGCTTTCAAATGCGTGCTCCTGCACACATACACACAGATGTTGCACGCTCCCTCTAGAATACACCTTTGTAACACAGCGCACATACACATTGCCTCCCCTCCAAAGCCTGTTTCTCTTGAGGCATTTCTTCTCTGACCTCACATGGCAAAAACCAAACCAGAAGGTCACATATGCCAGTGCACATCTCATCAAGAAAAGCACTCCCGAGAAGGAACGACAGTCCAGCATCTGCAGCACCATTAACCTTGCAACAACCATAGAGGCAAACTTCAGGTTTCCAGGGCCATGGCAATCAGATTTAAACACAATCACACCAGAGGAGTGCTTTCTATAACCAACTCTGAAAGAAAACTCTAGGTAAAGGAAATGTAGCTCTGGTATACTGAACTAGTTAAAGCACACTAGCAGCAGGTAAAAAGCTTACGATATCTGACCCCTTCTTGCAGAACCTACGCAGAATTGCCATTAAACATAATAAAACCAATCTCTTCCCCTTTCTTCAGACAGCCGTGCCAGCCGATGTGGGAGAATGCAGGGCAGTGGCTAACTGAAGGACAGTAGTAACTTTCAAAGTGTTGATTTTTAATAATCAGTAGAACTGTGGCTGTCTTCAGCACTTTAAAAAAAAATAAAATCAGGTCTCAACAGCACTTACCTTATGTAAAAAACAACACTAAGCTCAACAGACATATGAACTGGCAACCCGCACAATGGTTTCTATCTCTTCTACAAGGTAGCAGGAAAAAACCAAACATTATTCTCTCAAGATTCTTTTAACCACATTTCCTGCAGATCTACCTAACCACTGAATTGCAAAAACCAGACTTTGAAACAGCATCAGAAGCTAGATGTTTAAATGACTCCACCAGGAATCCAGAGGTGGCAGGTTGGATGGATACCAGGGTGGGACATTGATACTCTCAAATATTTCATAACTGAAGTACTTATGAAAGTATTTCTTTCCCCTTTAAAATAAGAAATTAGAGGAAAGTTAACCCTGCAACCCTTTCACTCTGAAGTAACCTGTATTAGGGAGATAAATTTAGTCTGAACCTACTCATCACCTGCTTGAAAAATCCTCCAGTTCAGCAATATGATGCAACTTAAGTAATCACTGCGCAAGGAAAGTTCTCCATAGTTCTTGCAAACATACAGTACTGATAAGACTTTATATACTGGTCTGAGATCAATCCTTGTACTTTATGCCTTTGACCAGCGGTCAGAAAAGGAAAATTTAACAGAGGGAATATGGACACTGTTGATCCTGAAGCTGTGAGAAAACGTTATCAAGCTGCTATGTGTTACGTGTTTCCTCTTAGAGCTGTGCAAGTGTTATGTGCAGACACCTTCTCCCCCTAAAATCTGGTTTGATATGAAATACAACTGTTGATTAAGTGCACAAGAAATTTGTTAAAAACAAGTACACTTTCTGCCATTTCGGTCTCCAGTACAGAAAAGAATGAAGAATATTTTGCTGAGAACAATTTTCTAAGACACATTCCAGAAACAGCAAGAGGGTCAATAGACACACTGTCTTCTGGGTTTACACAGACAAAAAAATGCAGCTCCCCCAGGCTGTTATGGTGGGAGTGGTATGAATAACTGAAAAGGGCAGAAAAAAGCTTTGGCTGCCATTCAGCTGATCCACACCAAGTGGAACAGTTCAAATTCTCAGCAGTCGCTCTTGTCCAGAATGGCAGAGTTTCCAGTCAAAACTTTGGTGTAGTTTTCTTTCTTCTTTCTTTTCTCCCATTCCCCCCTCCTCTTTTTTTTTTAAACCCAGACAGCATGTGAGATGCATCACTGCCAGGCTGATGCCTGCCAAAATAGATCTGTCTTTGGTAAATC